AGAACTGATTGTCTTTTGATAGTCAAGATCGAAGTAAAAATAATTTTCTTTGGTGATTTTGCAATTTTAAATGGAGTTTATTGAAACGTTCTAAACAAAAATAAGGTCTGGCTTTGCACGTAATGCAGAATTCTAGTATTTCGTGTCTTTATAGAACTGATTGTCTTTTGATAGTCAAGATCGAAGTAAAAATAATTTTCTTTGGTAATTTTGCAATTTTAAATGGAGTTTATCGAAACGTTCTTAACAAAAATAAGGTCTGGCTTTGCGCGTAATGCAAAATTCTAATATTTCGTGTCTTTATAGAACTGATTGTCTTTTGATAGCCTTCTAATTTGTACTTCCAATCTCACGTTTAGTCTATAATTTGTATACTTTCGCATTGGCTGCGCCATTCCTAAACAAAAAGTGAAACAGTGTCGTCACAGCGATATCTAGTCTATAAATCCAACAATCGTGGTGATCGAGTGATCGCCGCCTGAACGGATAGCGCAGCAAAATCAGCTCCGCGCTAAACATGTTAGAAAGTTATACTCTACAAAATTAAATTAAATTAATTTAAAGGAAACTATTTTGTCCTTGTATTTTTTTTATAAAATAAATAGCAGTTTTATTAGGTAATACAAAGGAGACCTACCACCAAGTGACATTTGTATTACTTCCTATTGAAATTTCGAGTTTCTCGAGTATATGTTGATTTTTTATTATATTTTACATAATAATTTATGATTATAATTATATGGTAATAAATAATAATATAATATAATATTATTATTTACTATTACATAATAATTTATGATAATTATGAATTAATAAATAATAATATAATTTATAATAATTCATGGTAATTATATAATAATAAATAATAATATAATATGTAATAATTTATGGTAATTATAAAATAATAAATATAATATAATAATTATATAATAATTATATATAATAATATATATAATTATATAATAATAAATATAATATTATATAATAATAATTAATATATAATTAATAAAATTATAAATAATTATAATATAATAATAATTATATATAATTATATAATAATAAATACAATATAATATATAATAATTTATAATAATTCCACGAGCGAGGATTTCGAAAGAGAGGAACGCAGCGAGCTCGAAAGAACTAAGAAGAACCGGGCCCTCGTAATCATTCTCGAGGATCATCTTCCGGTTAACTGCGAGTTAATTAGATTAAGGGCGAAGGAGTCGAGGCGATTCCTTGCAGGAGTCGCAGACGTTGGAAACGCGGCAAAAGTATCTGCGGAGATTGCTGGGGAACGCGAGTGAAAAAACGTTGCGGCCGACGATGCGAACCACGGCGGTGGAGTAGGAGGTGGCAGCCACGAACATGGCATCGCGTCCGTTCTTTTCGAATCGGCGATCATCATTCATTAGCCGGGCAGCCCGTTGTTCTCCCACTCATAAATCTTGCTCTTCTCATCTATCAACGGTCCCTCTCTCTCTCTCTCTCTCTCTTTCTCTCCACTAATCGGTTTTCGACGAAGGTCTTGACGCAAAAAACATCGAAGGCGAGGGCTTTGGAGGCGGGTGTAACGCAACGCAAATCGTCGGAGAAAAAAATTCACAATTTCACAGATGGAAAATTTCCATCGAATTCACAACGCTCTTGCGTCTGGTGGTTCTGTTTAGAGAGTCGCGAAAGAGGAAGAGATTCCCTCGATCTCCTCGCGGCGAGGGGAGGGCAGAAGGAGAAGACAGTTTACGGTTTCCGCTAAACGAGCAACGAGTCGTTGCTAATCGCACAGGAGGCAGGCGAAGGTATCGTTGTGATCGAAGACGCTGGTGGAAAATCTGATAGTTTCGCGAGAGGAATAGGGGGGGGGGGGGAGAGGTGGTATATCGTTTCCATCTGCGAGGGTAGTGGCCGTACAGGGGCGAAAGAGAGAAAGTAGAAGAAAACTGCAACTCGAGGAGAGAAAGAGAGAGAGAGAGAGAGAGAGAGAGAGAGTATGTGTGTGAGTTGGCTCTCTAGCTAGAGCAGCGGTAGCGCGACGAACGAGAGGCGGCGCTGGAGGGCGAGGGGCGGTTGGCACACTCGGTCGATCTCTCGTGGTTGCCAAGCGACGAACATCCACCACCAGCGTTCCCAACTACCCCTGGAACATCCAGAAAACCGGCTGGCCTCCGCTGGCGCCACCTGGCTCGCCGGAATACGCGGCCACCCCCGTCCCCGCCCGCGGCCAAGACAGTCGCGCGATGCACTCCACGCTGGCTGGATCTCGGTGCTACTGCCGGTGGTCCTCCCTTTCGCGCCGCCGATGCGCATTTCGCCAGCGGGAACCTCGCTCGTCTCGCCGCGAACCAACAGCAACAGCAACAACAACAACAACGACAACAACGACAACAACAATCCCACGGGCACGTACCAGCGTCGTCGTCGTCGTCGTCGTGGTCGTCGTCGTCCTCGTCGTCGTCGTCGTCGCGTCGTCATCCGTCGCTGCTACCACGTCCTCACCGTCGCCACCCTCCTACGTGATTCAATCGCCAGCGCAGCATCGCCACCGTCATCGGCCGGCCGCCATCTTGCTGTTGCTGCTGCTGTTGCCAGTGCATCTCGCAGCTGCAGGCGAGTACTCCAGCAGCGAGTAACAGCCGCGTTTCAGCAGGCGCGTACGACGATCGTCGGGAGAAGACGGTGAGAGGACACGGCGACCACCACCACCATCACCACCACCACCACCACTCGGAGGGATGGCCGAGCGGCCGGTAGCTTCCGGTCTCGTTCACGGCAATGGCCGGCGCTGGTGGTGAAACGGTGGTGCGATAACCCGCCGGCCGGAGCACCCACGCAACACCTCCTCGTTGTTCCTCGTCGTTGTTCGCGCTCTTTGCTGCCCAGGGGTCGTTGAACGTGGGGTAAGTGTCGGCAAGCAGCAGACCGTGTTTCGCGTTCGCGTTCGCGTTCACCGTGGCGCACGTGCTCTCCATCCATCCAGATGCCGCTCCTTCTCCTTCATCGAGATCCCTATTTTCTTTCGTTGCTTTCATCTCTTGTTTCTCTGTCTCTCTTTCTCTTTCTTTCTTTCTCTCGTTGGTCGCTCTCTCCTCCCTCTTTGCTATCTGCTCGTCGCTCGTTTCCAACCCTCTCCTCTCCACCCTTCGACCCGGGTTTCCAGCCTTTTCGCGCTTACGAGATCTGTCGCTATAGTTAGGTTCCCGCTAACGCCATAACACCCGAGATTCCACCTCGCTATCGCGTGGCTATTGTCGCGCTATTGTCCCGACGTTATCCACGGAATTCCCCGCACCGAAGAATTTCCGCTATTTTCGCCTCTCGCCGAGATCATTGTCGCAAGTAGGGAAGTGGAGGGGGGGAAGAATACCGCACGTGCGTCTCTCCCTCTGGGAAAGTTGGCAACGAGTGGCGAGAGAGGCCTGGCGTGTGTTGTTCCCCTTTGCAATCGAACAGTATACCCCAGTAAGGATCAACGCGACACTCGCATTCCTCGGCGAAGACCGAGGCGGCGGAACGTCGAACGTCGAACGTCGAACGTCGAGCGATCGAACCTCGCCAAGGTTACCACCCGCACCCGTTCGTTAGCTCCTTTCCGCGGAATGTGGGCCAGGCCTCTTGTGGCACCGATACCTTTATGAGATCTAATTGCACGTTCGGCTCGCGGATTAATGCCCCTGCGCGTGACGTGTCCGGTAACGTGAGCTCCGGATATTTCTATTATCGCGCTGGAATGACGTGAATGACACGAACGTGAATTCGAGAATTCTTTGTCTCAAAATTGCAACATTTCCTCAGCTTTAAGCTATAATTGAATGTAAACCCAGGCAAAACAAATGATGAGTTTATTACTTGTTAATAATTTCTTAATAATCCAGCGATATCGTCGAAGAAAGCGACGAATTATTGTGTACGATTCGGTCACTCGTTATGGTCCGCGAACCAGTTGCCAGCGCAAAGGGGTTAAACTCTTTGTAGTTAGGTAATAAATATAGGTATACCTGAATAAATTAGTAGTACCTGATTTATATATATTTATTATATATAATAAAATAAATAATATAATAGTATAATAATATTAATTTAATATAATAAATAATAATAAATTAGATATTACTGTAATAAAGAATTAATTTATTACATCTTAACAATTTCTACCCAGTGATGTCACACCGACGAGTTCAAAAGAAAAGGAAAGCGACGAATTATTAGTATACAGTTCGGTCGCTCGTTATGGTCCGCGAACCAGCGCAAGGGGTTAACTTTTTGGGGTTAGATAATAAATATCGGTATAAATTAGTAATACCTGATTTATATATATTTATTATACATAATAAAATATAATATTTATTTAAATAATATAATAATATAATAATATTACAATTTAATAATAATAAATTAGATATTACTGTAATAAAGAATTAATTTATTATTACATCTTAACAATTTCTATCCAGTGATATCACACCGACGAGTTCAAAAGAAAAAGAAAGCGACGTATTACTGTTCGGTCACTCGTTATGGTCCGCGAACCAGTTACCAGCGCAACGGGTTATCCTTTTGGGCTTAGGTAATAAATATAGGTATAAATAAATTAGTAATATCTAATTTACATATATTTATTATATATAATAGAATATATAATAGAATTATATATAATAGAATAAATAATAATAAATTAGTTATTACTCTGTAATAAACAATTAATTTATTACTTCTTTATAATTTCTATCTAGTGATATCGCACCGGCGAGTTCAAAAGAAAAAGAAAGCGGCGATTTATTGTATACGGTTCGGTCACTCGTTATGGTCCGCGAACCAGCTGCCAGCGCAAGGGGTTAAAACAGGGAAGAGAATGTTATGCAGCATCGGCTTGCTCGCGAACGGACAATAGACTGAAACTTGTTCGTTGCTCGAACATCCCGATTGTTAGATCGTTAGAACGGTGGTTTTTTTTCTTTCAATTTCAAGAATGGACGTTGTTTGATCGATGCCTGTCCGACCTTCGATCTTCGACCTTGCCTGCCTTGTAACCTTTCGAACCACGAAAGTCCAACTCGACTGTTTACCGCCATTCTCCACCTCTCACGTACCTCACCATAATTCGGTCACGTAGCTTTCGTGCATCTTACGTTTCGCTTATAGCCGAAAATGGCTTCATTGGTCGGACAAACCGACATTTCTCATCTTTTGTGGTGTCTCTTTTGTCCTTTTTTTTTATTTTTTTTTTTTATTTTTGCGATATACTGACCCAGTGTTTTTTAACCGCGGAATTTAGTTTTGAAAATCAAGCAACGACGAGTACACACGTCGAGCGCAGCGCAGAAATGCTCCTATTAAAAATTTTACGAAAAGAAATGAATCGAAACGAGGAGGGATTGCGTCTTTATAAAAAATAACTTGTACAATCTCGATAAAACTTCAATTAAACTTATATCCTCTTGATGAGAAATTAACAATTCACTGTTGAAAAAATTATCATTATGAGAAACTGAAAAATTACAATACAATTAATAAAAAGTGACACGGGGAATAATCCGATACACCAAAGAGAACAAATCTCTTTCATGAAACACATAGCGGTTTTATTGGCAATATCAAGTACACATATCACCAAGTGACATTTTTATTACTCCCCATTGAAATTTAGTGTTTTCAAATTTAAATCTTTTTATTTTACACGTCAATAACGCACCGAAATAATAATTCTGATTTCGTGATAGAAAACAAACTCGAGCGAAGCAGACGAAGAAAAAATTTGTTCGTTTCTCGAGAGCTCGTAGCCACGGAGGTTTGTTTTTTCGCGAAACTGTTGGAAATGTCGAGGAAACAGGCGGGAACAGGGACCTGAATTCCCCGAGGAGGGTCGACGCGCGCCCTCGAAGAAGACAGTTCTTCAGCACCCAGGGGTAGGACGCCGCGTGTTGTTCTTTCTCCACCGCCTTGTCACGTCGTCGTGCTTCGTTTTTTGCTTCGACGTTGTCACGCCCACGTTCTATGCGTGTTACAACGCCTCGTCGTGGTCTCGACTATCACCGCAGGGGAACTGTACCTCTCTCTCCACCGCGTCTCTCGTTAGTTTTATTTCTCCCCGCTCGGCCGGAAGCCGGCCGGCCCGCTTTTCATCAGCGAAATCATTTTGATAGCCGTTCGCTGATCGAACGCGATGAACGCGGGAACGCATTTCGTTGGTAATTGCTTGATTGAAACGACTCGGACAGGGGAAGGGGGATCGGGCCTCGTCCCGTGTGTTTCGTCGGAACGATTTTTACGGGCAAATAGGTTCGTGGGGATCGCGCGAACCCTCGAATTGACCCGTCATCCCCTGGCTGTGAAATTAAATTTCGTCCGCGGTTACCTACTCGCGAAACTGTGCCACCGAGTCTCACTTTCTATATGCGATGTCAACGGGATCGTTTGCTCGTCTTTCGGGCCGGATTGGCGGATCAGCTCTGCCGCTAAACAGAGAACTCTACGCCAAAAGTGTACAGATCGATCGAACGAATCCGTAGTTTCCACGGAACCGTCTGGAATGGTTTTTTTTTTCTTACAAACGAACATCAAATTTTTGAAACAAAAGTCTAATTTGACTGCAACTTTACCCTGGTCAGCGATCGCGCTGATTTGTAAAGACTGTTTATTGATGATTTAGGTCAGGTTAGGTTTAATTTATTTGCGTGGTTCATTTATTTGTAGGTTAGGTTCAATTTATTTGCGTGGTTTAGGTTAGTTTCTTTTAATTGAAGAAAGAGGAAGCTTGGATACGACTGACGACTGATTTCAAACAAAAATCTAACCTAAAACCTAACCTTTAGCCTAAATTTCGAAGTGATTAACAGTTGTGGCCTGTACCAGATTAAGAAAGATTTTTTTTTTTTTTTTTTACAATAGAGTAATTTCTTGTCGCCTAAATATTCCACCGTCGAATAGAGAAAAATACGAAAAGCTCGTCTCGATGTCTAAAGTGTATTTATAATCAGCCTTCAATGCGTGTCAAAATATTCTGCGTATAAATCGTCATAATTCAAATGATAATAATCAAAATAAGTAGATCACTGGCAAATATGTTTCAGTCTGAACAGAAATCAGTATTGATTCAATATCTTTCAAGCAATTAATAAAGAAAGAAAATCTGTGCTTGATTAGGTTTAGGTTAGGTTTCTAGCGCTGGCAACTGATTGCGGACCATAACGAGCGACCGAACCGTACACAATAATTCGTCGCTTTCTTTTTCTTTCGAATTATCGTCGGTACGATATCGCTGGACAGAAACTATTTGGAAGTGATAAATTTATTATTCGTTTTACGTAAATATGTTTAAAACTGAGGAAATATTACAACTTTGGAACGAAAAATGTGGTTGACTTGCGCTGGCAAATAATTGCGGACCATAACGAGTGACCCGAACCGTACGCAACAATTCGTCGCTTTCTTTTTGAACTGGTCGGTACGATATCATTGGATAGAAATTATTGAGAAGCGATAAATTTATTATTTGTTTTTGCCTATTTTGTTTCACTTATATAAATGTACTGAGAACTGAGAAAATATTGTAAGTTTGGGGCAAAAAAAAAAAAAAAAATTCTCGACATGCGTCGTTCCAGCGCAAGAAGTTAACATGTGATTACTCCAGTACGTCAATAGATGCCGTATATATCCGGCTTTTTAATGAAAAGAATTGAAACGCAGAGATGTACGAAATTTCTGAACCCGAGTTTCGTGAATTTCTTCAATTACACCTTCAATTACACTTGTAAATTTACACGACAGATAGTTGCCAGGACAATCATTTCGGTCGCGTTATCAGTTACTTCATTGTTTCCGTAATTCTGGGGAAATGATTTTACACGCAGCGCGATCGATGCAACGGGGGTGAGAAAAGAGAGAGGAGAGACAAAACGTC